CGTCGTCTCAGGCTCCATGCTCGACGTAGCTGCTGGTAAGTTTTTTTTTTCTTCTATCTTTTCTTTTCTCATTGTTGCTGCTGGAGTGAGAATAGTAGAAATGTAGAATACAGATTACAGAGTGTTAAGACATTTGGTTTTAGTGATTTACAGAGTATACTGCCGTGAACTACTAGTGCTGGATTTGTCAAGCAATTTACATTCTTTTATTTGGGCTTACATAGTAGAATAGTTCAAATGTTTGAATTGGTTGTATTTGCCAAGCAATTCTCATTCCTTTATTTGGGTTTACATCAAAATTACGTTGTTTAGGCCATCTCGAGACATAAATGTGACTTTTCTTATACTAGCCTTATCCTAGAACAATGTTATAATTTGCTTAGTTTCTTTCAAAATTTCATTTGTCATTTTATTCCTTGTATAATGAACCAATTAACCCATGCTCTTGCTAGGGACTCTAGCTCTCATTCTGTTGGACTTACCTGGGATGTTATCCCTCCAGATTGTTTTCTCCATTTACTGAGTTAATAAAATGCGGATTTTCTTTTTTAAAATACCTAGTTTGATTGACGGTTAGTTAAAATTATTAATGATTTTTTTTTTTTTTTTTTATGTTAAAAAATTATATATGTATGTTAATTAGCTTCTTTTTATTTATTTATTTTTTATTTTATTTTAAGCAAACAAAGAATTGTATTAATGTAGAGGGGAATTGGGGGATGGGTACAACAAAAAATTACCAAGATACAGGTGGATTACATAGTTTTTTTATTGTGCAAAAAGACTATGTCGGATTACTGGAAGCAACATGCTAAAGAGTTTTGGCTCCATTTCAACTCAAAATTCTTTCATAATGAGCTCTCACTAAAGAGTAGCAAAGGGCAAGGAACCTGACTAGAGTGACTATAGCACAAGGAGCTCTCACTATAACCAATCTTTTATTTGCAAATGACTCCTACTTATTCTTCAAAGTTTGTGAGAATGAAGGAATTCTATGTAGTTCGGGATATTGTAAATGAGTATACGCTAGCCTCTGGTCAAGTTTTAAATTTTAACAAATCAACTATGATCTTTAGTGGAATTGTGAAGGAATATGACATGATTTTCGTAGATGTTATTCTTGGAGTCCAGACTGGACTAGGATGTAGTACTTATTTGGAACTTCCCTCGCTGATTGGAAGAAACCAATGGGAGATATTAGGGATAAAATTGTTTCTAGAAAAAATAGCTGGAATAATAAATTTTTATCTAAAGCAGCAAATAAGTATTACTGAAATCTATTATTCAAGACATCCATGTTTTTGCAATGTCTGTGTTTTTGTTGCCTGTGAGACTTTGTGATGAGATATAGATGTTGATGAATGGTTATTGGTGGGAAAGTAATGCACGGGAAGGAAAGGGGATTCAGTTGATGTCTTGGTAAGAATGTGTTGTCCAAAGAAGCAAGGGGGGAACTTGGCTATGTTGGGCAAATAGTTTTGGAGATTACTGGATTCAATGATTGGTAAACTTTTCAAAGCAAAATACTATCCAAACTCTAACCTGTCGGACTCTGAGTTGGTAAAAAAAACTCTTTTTTCATTTGGAGAAGCATATGGAAATCCAGAACCGTAGTGAGAAGGGGTTGCATATGGAGAATTGGTGATGAGCATTCAATAAATCAGTGGACAGAACCGTGGGTTTCAAATGATAGTAACGGCTTACCTCTTATCACTATATATATATACCCTCATCTCAGAAATGCCATTGTCTCCTCCATAATGAAATGCAATGAATCTGAATGGGATGAAAAAATTATTTACAGGACAAAAATACAATTCATCAAATATAATTAATTGAAACAAATTATATTAAGAGTCTGTTTATAAATCTAGAAAATGACTTTCAGAAATCATTTTATGAAATTCTTGTGTTTTAATACTCAAAGAAAATAAAGTGAAAGGAAAATAATCATTATGGTCAATGAAAAAAAACTAATTTGACCGAAAATGTCATCTTAAATTTTTAGTCGGAAAATATTTTTCGAATAATTTATTTTTTCATCTCTCTTTTCTCTCATTTCTCTGCAAGCTAGTTTTCAAATTATTATTAGACTACCCTCATCTCAGAAATTTTGTCAATTATAAGATGATGTGGACTATGAAGTTCCTTATTAAATTTGTGTTAGGAACATTTGTATTAGATTTTGATGATACCAAACTACTTAGGAATTTAGACCCATCTCTTTACTCTCATTGTTTTATGTCCTTCTAGTAGACCGAATCATACGTGGGAACGTTAATGTTCACAGGCAAGAAATGAGTCGTGCTCTAACCCGAGTTAGCGTTAGGATCAAGAGAAGAGAAGACCGAGAGATCTACATAAACCGAAACATGGAAGGGTCTATCTCTCAAGCAACTTATTGACAAATGATAAAGAAAGATCGTCTGATATGTGAAAATAACGAATGATAAAGTCAATCATTCGTTACCAGAGCTCGAAAACACGAGTCATGTTCTGATTCGATTGGGCAAGCCATACATGTTCTCAAAAGCATAATTGTCCAAGTCTAGACAAATGGTGTCCTAGAAATGTGATTTTAAATTTCAAGAAAGCATTAAATGATTGGTACTTTTTGATAGTACTAAAAGACAAAAAGGTTGTTCACTTTTTGAAACCCACGGCTACACAGTACAAGCCGCATTAAAAGCTCCTTACACAGCTGATAATAATCACTGGTCAATTGGTTTTGAAATTTATCTACCTCTAACGGATGAATTTTTCTCTTCTACACTTGAAGAAGGTGCTGGTCATCACTCATTACTATCATAAAACTTTCAAAATCTCTCAAAGCTACAAGTTTATTTGCGACCGGTGTGTTTGTAAAGATCATCTTTTAAGAGCTCTCAAGTTTTCAAGAATCTTCACACTCTCAAGAAATCTTGCACAAGTTCTATAAGAAGATCAAGACTTCAAGTCAAGATTTCAGTTGGAGAAAACAACAATCTTCTTTCCAACACCACACTCAACTTGGAGAAGTTAAAAAACCTAAAGCTCCGCAGTTCCCCCCTTCGCAAATTGCAGCTCGCAAGACCTTCGTGGCTCCGCCTCCTTCTTCTTCAGGTGGCGGCAGCAGCGGCTTAGAAGCTTTTCTTCGTTGTACCTCCTCTGCGGCTTAGAAGCTTCTTCTTGGCGAGGATGTGTTTTTTTTTTTTTTTTTTCTGTATTTTTTCGGCGACAAAGGTTGAACATCAGGCGGCGGCACTGCGGCAGCAGTGGCGCATCTGTATTATGTCCGGCGAACAATGGTTGAACTTCATTGTCTTTTGTTATTTTTTTATTTTGTTTAAATATTATTATTTATTTATATTGATTTTGATTAGGGATGACAATTCTACCCGCACCCAACGGGTTTTCCGCATCCCCGCCGTCGCCCCTACGGGTTATAAAATAGCCGCACAATTTGAGTAATGTGTGCGAGTATGGGGGGAAATTTATATACTCGTGCGGGTATGGGGGCGGGGGAGGTATCCCCGCTCCGCACCCGCACCCGCACTTATATATATTGTGATTAGTATTCATTTATTATATAAGTTTATGTATATTTTATAATTGAAAATGCATAATGAGTTAAACTTCTTAGTTTTTTGTTTATGAAATTTGAATAGGAAAAACACAAATAATACAATGAGTAAACACTTAATACAATTTATACTATCAACACAATTTTAGTTCCAATTAAGAACTAATTTCATTGACTCTTATTAGATTTTAGAGTTATGTTCAAACTTATAAAAAAATCAATGTGATAATTACAATTGTAGTATAAGATTTTTATTAGATTTAAGTGTAATATAAATAATTAGAGTTGTGGGTTGGATATTACACGCACCCGCAAAATCCCCGCGAGGACGGGTATGAGGTAGGATTTTCATTACCCGCGCAGGTGCGAGTGCGGGTACGGGGAGTGGGTTGGAAATGCGGGTGCGGGGGCGGGGATATATCCCCCGCACCCACCCCGCCCCATTGCCATTCCTAATTTTGATAGTCAAGTCCTTGAACATTCATACTATCTATTGTAATTTAGCCATTATTTGTTGCTCTATGCTATTTTAATTTAAATTTTTATTATATTTTATCTTTAATTTATTGAAGAATTAAAAAAAAAAAATTACGTTAGGCATTTTGAATTCGAATATGCGAGTCGAATCGAATATATTCAAATAAACTGAATACGAATCAAATTTGGGATTCGAATATTAAATGAATACGAATACGGATATTTATCAGTATAGTCGAATTTGAATCGAATAGTAAGATATTTGACTCGACTCGATTCGATTCGTTTACACCCCTACCACCATCACCACGACACAACCATCACACTACCAACACCACCACCATCACCACCGTCACCACCACTTATTATTATTATTATAGAGTTAATTTCATTTTTTGTCATAGATTTATAGGTGACAGTCCACTTTTAATCTTTTTTATCAGAACATCCATTTTTGATCCTACTATTATTGTGACATAGACCATTTTTTATCCTCTATCAACAAAACAATTTAAATATCGCTAAATACATTGACATTTCGGTCTTCAATTATAGATTTTTTCAAAAAAAATAAACATAAAAATATAGTAGGTCAACATACTTTGTATAAAAAAAGATCTAAATGTCCTTTGTATTTAAGGACATTTCAATGATTTTGTTGACGGAGGACAAAAAACGATATGTCACAATAATACTAGGACCAAATATGAATGTTCGAATAAAAAATGACTAAAAGTGGATTGTCACCTATAAATCTATGAAAAAAAATGAAATTAACTCTATTATATAGTAACAAATAATATGTTCATTTTTCAGAAAATGAACCAAAAAGAAAAAAATGTAATTTCTAAGCTTTTAGCCAAACAGAAAAAGATAGTTTTTTTGTTCTTTAACCAAACACTTGAAAATGATAATATGAGTCATTTTCTAAAAATCATTTTTCGAAAAACATTTCCCAGAGTTCCAAACCAACCCTAACTGAAAATTTTTTATTATAATAGAGAGATCAAACACATGGCAACAACCTAATACACACACAAAAGAAAATGACAATCAACCTGACCCCATTTCTATAATATTACCATGATGTTCTTCTGAGTGCCATTGTTTTTAGCAGCCAATTGGGATTGGATCTTCATTACAAAAGGAATATAAAATACATGTCAAAGGAATGATCATAGCATTTTCTGTTGAGTTGCTACATCTTGCAACATCCTACTAAAGTTGATCAATAACCTTTTATGGGCAGGCACAAACTGGCCGGGTACTCGATATCTCTATCGCAGATGATGCCTGTATCAATTTGAAGATGTTTACGTGACCAGAATGTCAAACAGAAACATGAATTGAATGGGAAACGTAGATAGAGATAGAGAGAGAGAGAGAGACCTCAAGGTCTCTTGTGTTCCACGGCGAACTTTGCAACGGATAGTTGGAAGCCCCAAGCGCTGGTGAGCCTCGTAGCGGTGACAACCAGAAAAGCCTGAGGGAGGGAGGGAGGAAAATTAATAGTATGTAGTTGAAGCTAAGTACTCATATTTTGTCTGGGAAGTTTTCTGCACCTGCCTTTAAATCTTAAAAGTCATCATAAAACTTAGGCATGGGTGATGTGTATACATACCATAGTAAACCCCATCAACCTCCAGCACATCAATCTGCATTGGATGAATCATTATATTATTAGCAGTGTTCAAAAACCCCGCCTAGTCACCATAATCGGTGGTTTAGGCGGCTGGCCAGCTAGGCGGCTGACTCGGTCGCCTAAGTGCCGCCTAGGCACTGTTAGGATCGATACGGTTCACAACACCAATATACCAGCGGCAATTCGGATCGAAAATAATGAGAATATTTTTGGTGTAAGATTTAAAATAAATCATACACAAAATAAAGGCAATTTGAAGAAAGATTTTTTGTATTGGCAAAAGGATATTACAAATAGGAATTACAATATAACTCTCTATTTTACTCTCTATATTTTTGCTATGCTAATGGGAGAATTCCTGATGGAATGGGATGAGATTGGATGAAGAGGAGTTGTCTATTTATAGCAAACCCACTCCTGCAAATTCCTCTTGCTCTTTCTCCTGCTCTTCCGAAATGAGCATCTTGCTCTTCAGAGATGAGCATCTTGCTCTTCCGAAATGAGCATCTTGCTCTTCAGAGATGAGCACCTTGCTCTTCAGAGATGAACATCTTGCTCTTCAGACCAAGTGTTTGCTCCTGCTCCTAACCTCATCAGAAAAAGGTTCTCCGCATTTCCACATTTGACTTTAGTATTTACAAATCTCCCACTTAAAGTCACAATGTGGACCTTCATCCTTTCCGCTAATTCCGTGCTGCTTGCATACTTGTTAGGCCAATTGAGGATCTACACCATACGAATTTATCGTTGGTAATCGGCTTTGTTAACATATCTGCCAGGTTATCTTTAGTATGGATTTTCTGTATATCCACACCCTTCTTCCACCTTTTCACGAACAAAGTGAAATTGGACCCGTATGTGTTTCGTCTTGGAATGAAATGCTGGATTCTTTGTCAAGTACAAAGTGCTCTGACTGTCACAAAATAGAGTCATTTTCTCTAATTTGTGCCCGAGCTCCTCCAATAGCATTTGCAACCATATAGTCTCTTTACTAGCTTGAGTAGCAGCTATATATTCTGCTTCCGTCGTCGATGTTGCCACAACAGACTGCAACTTCAAGACCCAGCTTACTGCTCCGCCAGCAAGAGTAAACATATAACCCGTGGTGGATTTGCTACAATCAAGATTACCTGCATAATCTGAATCAACATAGCCTCTAATAATAAAGTCTGATCCTCCATAACACAATGCAATATCTGAGGTACCCTTGATATATCTAAGGATCCTCTTCACAGCACTCCAATGCTCTCTACCAGGATTTGACATGTATCGACTGACCGCTCCCACTGCTTGTGCAATGTCTGGTCTAGTGCAGATCATAGCAAACATTAAACTGCCCACTGCTGATGCATACGGTACTCGAGACATCTCCATCCTCTCTGCTTCGTTGCTAGGACTCATACTTGAGGATAACTTGAAATTAATAAAAAGAGGGGTAGAAATTGGCTTACTATCTTGCATGTTGAAGCGCCGCAAGATTTTCTGCAGATAATTCTGCTGAGAAAGTCAAATCTTCCTATTATTTCTGTCTCGGTGAATTTGCATCCCTAGAATCTTGTTTGCTGGTCATAAGTCCTTCATTTCAAATTCCCTAGCCAGTTGAGCCTTCATCTCCGTGATACGATCATTGTTGGGGCCTACTACCAACATGTCGTCAACATACAACAGCAAGATGATAAACTGATTATCATCAAATCTCTTGCAATATGCGCAAGGATTGGAATTAAACCTGTTGTATCCAAGGCTCAGAATGAATGAATCAAATCTTTTATACCAACATCTCGGCGCCTGTTTGAGACCGTATAGAGATTTGGTCAACTTGCAAACCAAGTTCCCTTCTTCTTCAAAACCTTCTGGTTGGAGCATATAAATCTCTTCTTCAAGTTCTCCATGTAGAAACGCAGTTTTCACATCCAACCGCTCAAGATACAAGTCAAACACAGCACACATCGCTAGGACTGCTCGAATCGTTGTAAGTCGTACAACAGGAGAAAATATCTCGTTGAAATCAACTCCTTCCTTCTGAGAAAATCCTTTCACAACTAATCGAGCACGATACCGTTCCACTTTGTTGTTGCTATCTCGTTTGATCTTATAGACCCATTTGTTTCCAATAGCCTTCCTTCCTCGTAGTAACGGGACAAGTTCCCATGTTTTATTCTTATGGAGAGCTTCGATTTCTTCTTGCATTGTTGTCATCCACAGAGATGCATCTGGACTTTTTATAGCCTCATGGTAAGTTAATGGCTCACCATCTTCTGTTAGTAGACAGTATGCAACATTTCCCTCCATTGAATAATCTGAGTGCCAAGCTGGTTCTCTCCTCTCCCGAGTTGATCGTCGAACTTCAGAAGTTGAAGACTCAGCTTGATCTTGTTCATCATGCTCGATTGTTGTTTCAGGGGAAACTGGAATTTCTTCTTCCTTCCTTCCCTCAACTTGTACTGTAGTTGTCACTGATTCCTCCTTCCCAGTGCTTTCACCTTCTTGTAACTTGCCTTCTACAAATAGAACATCCCTGCTGATGATAACCTTGTGTGCAGTGGGATCCCACAGTCGATACCCCTTCACTCCATCAGCATACCCCAAGAAAACACATTTTCTTGATTTTGGATCAAGTTTAGATGTTTCTTGAGCGTTGTATATCACATATGCCGGACTCCCAAATGTATGTAAGTGAGAATAACTAGATGGCTTACCCGTCCACATTTCCATTGGCGTTTTCAGATCAATTGCGGTTGATGGAGACCGATTGATCACATAACAGGCGGTCTTGACTGCTTCAGCCCAAAATGAATTTGCCAAATTTGCAGTCCTCAACATTGCTCTTGTTCTTTCCAACAAGGTTCTGTTCATCCGCTCTGCCACACCATTTTGTTGTGGAGTATACGCCACTGTGAACTGTCGTTTGATACCTTCTTGCAAACAGAATTTATCAAATTCAACACCAGTGTATTCTCCTCCATTGTCCGACCTCAAACACTTGAACCGTTTCTCGAATTCAAGTTCCACACGCGCTTTGAAGAATTTGAAAACTTCAAATACATCCGCCTTCCGCTTGATTGGATACACCCAACATCTCCTCGAGTAATCGTCTATGAAGGATACAAAATACTTTGCACCTCCCAGGGATATAACTGGTGCTTGCCAAACATCGGAGTGGATTAGCTCCAAGATAGCCTTGCTCCTTGCTTTAGAGCTCTCGAACTTCAATCTATGCTGCTTACTTGTAACACAATGCTCACAAAAAGGTAATGAAACCTTTTTTAACCCCGGAAGAAGATGTTGATCAACAAGAATCTTTAGACCTCGTTCCGACATGTGGCCAAGTTTTTGATGCCACATCATCGTTGATTCCTCTATAAGATTGTCTGATGCAACAGTTGCTTCTCCTTGTAGTTGTGTTTCTCCTTTAAGCATGTATAGATTGGCCGCTATCTTTTCAGCTTTCATCACAACAAGCGCGCCCTTGATTACTTTGATGATCCCATCCTAAATGTGAATTTTACATTCATGCTATCTAATTGTCCTAGAGACAATAGATTTTTCTTCAGGCCTTTCACGTGTCGTACCTCTTGGATAGTGCGAACCGTACCATCAAACATTTTTAGTTTGATAGTACCAATGCCAGCAATCTCTAAGGCATGGTCATCTCCCATGAACACTGATCCTCCAGAGACAGGTTCATATTCATGAAACCATTCTTTCCGTGAGGTCATATGCCATGTTGCTCCTGAGTCCATTAGCCAGACATCAACTAGACTTTTCCTGCCTTCAACAATTGTTGCTGCTTCACCAATTAAAACATCGCCTCCATCCGATGTACTCACAACACATCCCTGAGCATTTGATGTCTCGAGATTTTTGCCTTTGGTCCCATCCTTCTTGAGCTGCCAACACTCACTCTTGAAGTGCCCCTTTTTGCCACAGTGAAAACACTTGACATTCTTCTTACCCCTTGACTTTGATCTACCTCGGTTGTGACTCCCACTGGAGCCAGGCTCCGTTGATCTTCCTCTTGTCACTGTCAACGCCTGAGACTGTTGTGAGGTTCCAACTTTATCTTCTTTGTTTTTGCGCCGACTTTCTTCTTGAAGAACCGCAGCTGCAATGTCATCGAAGACAAGTACCTCCTTGTTGTTGACTAGATTGATAATGAGTTGATCGTATGAATCCGATAGACTTTGGAGTAAAATTTCAGCACGTCCATTCACATCTATTTTATAACTCAACGTCGAGAGTTGTGAAAATAGGGTGTTGAGAGTGTTGATATGCTCAGTTACTGAGGATGTCTCCATCATCCTGAGAGTGTATAGCTTCCTCTTCAAGAAGATCTTGTTGTGTAGTGATTTGGCCTCATACAAATTTACGAGAGTATCCCATATCTCTTTTGCCGTACATTTTTCCGCCACACTTGACAAAACTTCATCAGCAAGTGCTAAGTGCAGATTGGCAATAGCGTTGCTATCCATTTCTGTCCACTTGGCATCGTCAGTGAAATCGGCTGGCCTTTCTTCAATTCTGCAACGCAGTTATCTTTCCTGAGAACTGCTTTCATTCTCATTTTCCACAACGAGAAACTGTTCCCATTGAACTTTTCAATCTCGTACTTTGCCGTCATTATAAGTGGTGTTCTTGATCCTGAACAATATATCTAAATAGTATCGTATAATAGAAAACTACCGGTCCTGTGAACAGTACACCAGGAAAATATTTCTGGAGAAGAGAGGTGAGTCACAAATGGACTGCTTAAATACCAAGTCTTAACCAGATCTTTTCCTAGACATGTACAATCACTTTACCAGTATGAGTTTTAACATAACCGATACAGTACATATATATCTATGAACCAACATGGGGCTCTGATACCACTTGTTAGGATCGATACGGTTCACAACATCAATATACCAGCGGCAATTCGGACCGGAAATAATGAGAATATTTTTGGTGTAAGATTTAAAATAAATCATACACAAAATAAAGGCAATTTGAAGAAGGATTTTTTGTATTGGCAAAAGGATATTACAAATAGGAATTACAATATAACTCTCTATTCTACTCTCTATATTTTTGCTATGCTAATGGGAGAATTCCTGATGGAATGGGATGAGATTGGATGAAGAGGAGTTGCCTATTTATAGTAAACCCACTCCTGCAAATTCCTCTTGCTCTTTCTCCTTGAAATGAGCATCTTGCTCTTTCTCCTGCTCTTCCGAAATGAGCATCTTGCTCTTCAGAGATGAGCACCTTGCTCTTCAGAGATGAACATCTTGCTCTTCAGACCAAGTGTTTGCTCCTGCTCCTAACCTCATCAGAAAAAGGTTCTCCGCATTTCCACATTTGACTTTAGTATTTACAGGCACTGACCGTCTAGGCTTCCTAGGCGCTGACTAGGTCGACTAGGCACCGATTAGGTCATCTAGTCGGCCGCCGATTAGTTATTGTTCTCTTCTTTTTTAAATGGTTTATTTAAATCTAAACGACCATCATTTTTTGTGAAATAACCCTAAATTGTTCAAAATCATACTTTTTATGTTAATATTTAATATTTTAGTATTAACTATTAAAGTATTCAATAATATATAATTATCAAGTATTAAAAGTTTTAAAAATTTTAAACAATTTTTTTTAAAATAAAAAATAAAATAAAAATACACGGGCGCTTAGGCGCCGATTAATCCCCGCTTAGGCGCTAGGCGCTCCCCAAGCGTCCAAGGAGCGCTTAGCGATTTTTTCAACCATGATTATTAGTTACTACAGTTAAATTTTGCTCCATTAGAAGCCAGGGCGGCCGGGAGGTCTAGAAACATCATATCTAATAAAAAACATGGTAGTAGATGGATCATGGAGTAGCCAAGGCCACCATTCCATTTTAATTTGAAAGAAACAATCTTTTTGGTAGAACAGTACAGTTGTACCTTCTGATTGTTAAAATTGGTCATAATTATCATAGGCCAATTAAGTCAAGACTCAAGCGGAGCAATAATGTTTAATTTGTTGATATCATGAACATTAGCATTGTGTGAATTGATCAACTTCTATATATGATCTATCTCATCTAAATAATCATGTTAAGATGATCTGAACATCTAACCAGTAGTACTATCAGATAGATGCATTAAAACTTCAAAACTTAAATTTAATTTGTATCATTAAAAGAGTCCCTAAAATTACCTCCTCCGTTCCAAATATTAGCTTCGCTGCTTGACAGTGAATGGGTGAGTGTAAATGAAGAATAAAATGTTTTCCTTTTCTTATCTTAAGATAATAGAGAGAGATAATTCATGCATGCCTCGAGGTAACTTTAGGAGTGGAAAATAACATTTTAACAATTATGAAAAACGACAAAGACCTAGTAAATTAACATCATTACATGTTGGACTGCCACATAAATAACATGTCCCTGTAAATCAACAATGTAAATATGTAATAAACACAATACACCAGATTCCGACATTAAGGCATAACATAAGAAACAATTTAAGTTAATTGAAATCCCAAGCTCACTATGCATGGTTAAAGAAAAACCATATAACAATATGGGTCACACTTGTGTTAGATCCGTGAGACGAGTTGAATCGGATATATGGAATAAACTAGTAATTCACCCGCGCGATGCACGGGAAAAAATTATGTTATTATAAATATAAATAAAAAATAGAAAAATTAAAATATTTTAAATTTTTTAATATAATAATATTTTTGAGCTTCCATTAGTCAAGTATTTATTATTTTTATAGAATACAAAATTACAATTAAAATTAAAATTAAAATTAAAATTAAAATTTTGTATGGTTAATATAATCTTTAATTATGTGCATATTCAAATAAACTTATAGAGAGAATTTACATAATTACATTGATTTATTCTTAATTGTATATATATATTATAATTTTCACAATAGAATAATAGCTAAGATAATTACATTTGGAAAGTAAATTTTAAATTTTGTATGAGTAAATTTAAACTCTAATTGAACACATTTTTTATATGATTATATAATATATAGCTATTTTATTTTTCAAAAGTACATTTTTTATATGATCATATAATATATAGCTATTTTATTTTTCAAATGTTGTGTTTTTTTTTTTTTTATATAATAAAAGATGTTGTGGCATTAATTGTAACATTAATTACTTCACAAACCATATAGCTTTATTATAGTTAAGATAAGATGTAATACTAATTAAAAATAAAGTGTTTGTTACTTAAATATAATACTTTTGAGGAAAAATGCAATACATTTTTACATTTTGATGTAAAATTATTACATTTTTTTATCAAAAGTATTAAACTTTCCTTTATAAGTAATGTTGATAAGTGTTTGTTATTAAGGGATAAAAGCATTACATTTTTGTTAAAAGTATTACTTTTTTTTTACTGCTACTGACTCTATTACATTGTAGTATCTGTTCAAACATATTTTCTTAATCTAATGACGCACAAAGAGTTACCCAACGCCTCCATGCTCGATCTCATGACCTCCCACAAAAGAGAGGTCACTAAAAGTATTACATTTTTTAATATTATTAATAAACATTTTATTCTTGATTAGTATTATATTTTCATCTTGATCAGAAGCAGACAAGGATTTGTGAGACGATTTATACAAGTTTTTGCCTAATAATATACTCTGTATATAAAAAGAACAAAAAAAAAAAAAAAAAAAAAAAAAAAAAAAAGAGTTGCTTACAGGTACTTGCAGGCCAATCTGGCGGATGCTATCCATCAATTCCTGGACCTTGCCTGGATCATTAGCTCTGGTACGCATGAGGGGCCTTCGGATTTTATCAATCGGAAGTTCAACAATCACCGGTCCCCCTGATTGAGATTGAGGCACGCCGGGACTAGGCCCTGTTCAATCAATCCACTACTCTTAATCTAATGTGCACAACATAAACCCTAGAAACACCAAATTCTGCTTTTTCAAGCAAATCTTCTTCAGAACCCAATATGAATGGATTTATATGATCTCCACCGCATAACATAAGCACACAATTTAGTATGGAGAGCGAGAGAGAAAGATAGAGGTAGAGATTAGAGAGGAATATTACCATTGGAGGACGCAGCAGAAACAGAGAAGGTGCGAAGGTTACTTGGGACTTTGAGTACAAAATTTGCCATTTTCCCATCTCTTCTTCACAACCACCAGATACATAATAATTATTACAAGTGACGGAAGAATGTGAACGGGATTTTCAGGAATGGTGTTTTTGCAAATTTTGGGATTCTATTTTTGACTAATTCCATTTTGCCCCCCATAAGGCCATAATAATTAGTAGAAATGTCATTGATGGCTGTTTGGACTTTGGCGCTTCATAGTTCATACTTCATACCTTCATAAAAAAGTGTCAATTAAACTTCATATGCTTAAGGAATATTGGCATAATTACGCACCAAAAAATATCATTTATGTTATACAATTGGAATTGTATATATACTGGTGTAAACTCACTACCTATTTTAATGTAGGACAAATGTTTCTTCCAAGTCCTTTTTAATTTTTTTTTTTAAATTTTATGTAAGGAGTAATTGTTTGTAAATAATAAAAGTAGAAGTATGTAGCATAGTCTAAAAAAGAAATTGATTTAAACCTAAAGCAAGGAATAACGAAATATTCATGTGTCTAGCTGTCTAAGCGGATCTTATATTTTTAATCACAATAAAAACTAAAAATTACACTATAATGTTTGGTTTTCATTTGTATCTTTCACTAATAAATAACCTAATTTGTATACGTCTAATTTAAAAACCAAGGAATTACCATGGTAGAAAATTAATCATGGTCCTTTGATAACATTGTCTGCCTCTGGAGTTGGAATCATACTTAAACCTGGACTAGTTTAGTTTAAGAATTAATTTCACTTTTGGTCCCACGACTTTTGATGTTCTATCACTTTTGGTGCACAACTTTAAAATTTTTTAATTTTGGTGCCTAACTTTGTTATTTTATCAATTTTGGTCCTTTCGGCCAAATTGACTGTGAAATGTTGTTGGATTTTATATTGTTAGGGGTAAAATCTTCATCCCAAGGAAACATCTTCAATATCTAAACAAGATCACCGTAAAATCATATTTATAGGTGTTTGATGATGAGAATAATGGGGAAGATGGGCAGAAACCAGACAGATATATGGGATTTATAGTTTCGACCATTGGCAAACTCTTCTTTTCCTCTTAATATGATTTTTCTTTTGTTTAAATATTGAAGATCTTTCCATGGGATGACGATTTTGCCCCTAAAATATAAAATTTGGAAATATTTTACCGTCAATTTGGCTAGAAGGACCTAAACTGATAAAAATAACAAAGTTAGGCACCAAAATTGAAAAAATTCAAAGTTGTGCACCAAAAGTGATAAGAACTCAAAAGTCGTGGGACCAAAAGTGAAATTAATTCTTTAGTTTAATACAAGAGTAGAGTAGACAATTAGGGATTTAAAAAAAAATGCAAAATTTTCAATTATTTTCACAGCAAGTTTATTAAAAATGAAAGGAGTGAGCACGGTTGCAATAGGCACTAGGCGCAAGTTGAGCGGCAGAGTAGCGACTAGCGTCTAGGCGACCTAGGTGGGGCGCCTGGGCGGCTAACTAAAAAAATAAAAACAATGCACATGTGTAGGTTTATGTCATATTATACATACATACATACAGATGGAATAATTACAAATCGACCCGGAGCGGGACAACATGGAGCGAATCAAGTTTGAAGTACCGGAGGAAACCCAAAACCAGACCCGACTGACTTGGGCACAGCCAAGCCCTGCGCTTAGCCATGAGGTCGGCCTCCAGGGTCGGCCACTTGGGCCGAGCTCCGTGCTCGGTCGAGTGATAGGGTCTTCGCGTTGTCCGTATCTTGCGGCGTTGGTTGCGGTCCAAGGCGGTTACAGCTTCCAACTATCTTCTCCGGAGTAATTAGGACCGATTTGGAGTATAAAAACACTCACTGATGTCCTATTGAGACATAATTTCCTTCATTATCTTCTACTTGTCTGGTTATTGCATAAATTCCTTCTTGTAATAACGTTACACATTATTAATACAACAATTTTCCCCGTGACTTATCAATATTTGTCCATTATTACCGTTACATTTATCCTTTACATTTGTTCAATCCTACACTTGTGATATTCTATAAATAAAATCAGATTAATTAATTTGGACCCTCGGGTTAATTAAATCAATCAGTGGTGCTTTCATTGAGAGCTCGACGTACAAGCTCAAGCATGTTGTTATCTACTAGCTATGACAAGATCAAGACCAAACTCCCGTAATTCCCACTGGTAGGGAATATCCCGACCGACATAAGCTTCACCACGACCGATTTGCCTTTGTTTTTCTCTCTTTGTCTTTGCAGGTAACAGGTCGTGCTTCATGCGAAGAACCCGGTCGGGATTTGACCGGGAGTTGCCCGAGCAGTAGTGTCGACCGCCGAGCGGTAGCCCTTTGGCGAGAGAGCTGACAAGGGACACGTGGCAGCTCTTTACGACGACAGACAGGGCACCCGGGAGGATGACACGTGGTGGCTACGTGGAGAACATGCCGAACGACCGGATACTTGTCCCCGGCACAGCGGCTATAAATACCCACAGTAGCTACAGTGTAGAGGACTTTTGGACGATCGATAGGTTGTTACTAGAGAATCCCGACCGCAGTCAGTCGGCACTCAGAGCAACCAAGTAGATTGTACTTAGGGCCTTTACCGTGATCAATAAAGTCTTTTACTTGCTTTAATTGGTCTCGGGTTTATTTTATATTGCTTACGTAGAATTAGCAGTATCATTTTGGCGCCGTCCGTGGGGACCCGTGCGAGAAAGCAACGTCTTGACGAGCACCCGATCTCTTCGCAATCATGTATCCGTTGGCTCACAACAACTTCGCCGATGACCAGGCGGACGCAGCGAGTTCATCTGGGCACCATGCCACCCAACAGCAAGGTCAGACGGTGGAACTGAATCTCAATCTCTCACCACCGCATCCGTCTAACACATACCCGGTTGCCCAACAACCGGTGAACTACATTCAACTAGGGTACCCAACACCCGGTCAGCCATATCAGCAGCAGCCGGTGATGTATCCCGGCCAATATCCATACCCGGTCCCACCTCCGCCGTACGGGTATTGGCCTGGCCAAACGATGTACTACACTCCCCCGGTTGGGTATCCACCATATACGCCTGCTTACACGGCTCCAGCCGCCGCCCCTCCAGTTCACCCGACCACACAGGTAGAGCCGCAACGTCAGTCCGCTTCCCGGGCTCGACGCTCGGCTCGTTCGCGGTTGGGGTCGGGGGGTGCTGATGCGTTGGAGGCACCAGAGCAGGCCCAGCAAGCGGCCGAGGTTCCCGTCCAAGCGGAGGACCCCGAAGAAACTGCCCGAGCGGCAGCTTTTGATCGTCTTCGACCGGAGATGCGTCAGCGTTTGGGACCCCAAGACCCGAACCGCCAGCAAGAAGACGTACAGATGCAGGAGGCCAGCTAGGAGGCTTCATCAGGGTATAGCGGGTCGAGATCTCACCGACGGCGACGCGCTCGGGATACAGCCCAAGCTGCTCAAGCCGCCGAGCTCAACGAGACCCGAGGATTACTCTATAACCTCCAGGCGGAGTTTGCGCAATTCAGAAACGCGCACCCTGCAGCACCCCCGGTCGACCAACCGACCCTGCACCAGACGCCTTTCACAGCGGCGGTGATGGCTCAGCCCTACCCGCTTGATTTAAAGGTCTCCGGAGAGAAAACTTATGATGGCCGGACAGACCCCGAGGCTCACGTCAACGACTTCTACAGCAATATGACGCTGAAGGGCGTGTCAGACGCCGTAATGTGTAGGGTTTTCTATTCCACGCTTACCGGTCGGGCGGCGGAATGGTTCCGAACTTTGCAGCCGGGTTCGATCGACAGGTTTGACACCCTGGCGATCAAGTTCGTGAGGAAGTTTATTACTTCCAAAGTGGTGAGGAAGTCCTATATGTATCTGGAGAAGGCCAAGCTACTTGAAGGCGAAAGCTTGACCGACTTCCTCATCAAGTGGAAGGTGGCAGTCGGGGAGGTCGAGCCCATGGATGATGCGACCGCCACCCACATGCTACACATCTCTCTCCGGGCGGGGTATTTATATCAAGATTTTATTTTACATCCCCCGGCCACTTATGAGGAGGCCCTTCGAAGGGTCACAAATTATGCCAATGCTGGCGAGGCGAACGCCGTAAAGCGCTCGCAGGAGGTCGGGTCTTCGTCCCGTAAACCGGCCGGCCGGGCAGAACACCGATCGGGTGATGATCATCCCCGATCCCGCACCAGGCCTGGCGAGTTTACGGCCTTGAACCGATCTGCAGCGGAGGCCATGCAGTATGCCCAGTCTTGCAATCTCATCAAGCTTCCCCATCCCGATCGAGATGGTCCTGACAAGAGTAAGCATTGCGCTTACCATCGATGTGCTGGGCATGACACTGAAGAGTGTACCCACTTGCGCTAACTGTTGGAGGATTTGCTCAATCTTGGGAAGTTGGACAAGTGTGTGGGGAGGAGAGAAGACCCCAAGAGGAATACCGATCGGAGAGATCAGCGGCGCTCCCATCACCGCTCCGATCGGTCAAGTCAGGACCGAAGAGACGATCGAAGAGATGATCGTCGCGATGACCGACGGGACCCTGACCCTCCATCTAGCAGCCGACCAGCAGGAAAGCCGACCATCCACGTTATTTTCGGTGGATTGGAAGACGCTTCCCGACCGCGGAGTAATTGCCCGGTCGCCATAGTGGATTCCCGGGAGACCGGGAAGAGGCAAAAGATGGAGCCCATAACCTTCACCCTGGAAGATCAACCCAGCAGCGGCGACCACGGCATGGAGGCGCTCGTGGTCACAATTGATGTGAAAGGGACGGATATCCAGAGGGTTATGGTCGACACTGGCAGCAGTGTGAACGTCCTTTATTTGAACGTGTTTGAAAAGCTTGGACTAGACAGGAAGGAGCTGACTCCGGTCGGTGTACCACTGTCTGGCTTTACCGGGGCTCTTATTTACCCCGAGGGAAAGATAACGCTCCCGGTCGAGATCGGCACAGCCCCGAAGTCGATCAAGACGGAGCTAGAATTCGTTGTGGTCAACCTCCACTGCGTCCACAACATTATCTTGGGCCGACCCGCCATTATGAAGATCGGTGGGATAAT